CCTGCCAAACTGTAAAACAGAAGTATTTTCTTGTTTAAGTAACATAGCCCACAGACTTTGGTTATGGCAACATGAGCTGATATGAACAGGCACTCACAAATACTGTGCAAATGTTTTGATATCATTGCCTCCATTTACAGATATGAAAGCTGAAGACGAGTGAAGTTGAGGAACAGGGGTAATGTTCCCTAGTTCCCTAGATAGGAAGCTGTCAAGTTGAGAGGCAAGCTGGTCTCTGACTACAGCATCCTATCTCTGGTCTTCCCCAGGACACTATAAAACACAGGCTTTGTTTTCCTAGATGACAGCAGGGAAGTTAAAGTATATCCAGGTCATAAATCTACATTAAGGGTAAGTGAGCACCATTTTCTTGCTTTCTTAAAAATGTCATGATAACTTCATGTTCTCATCCACAATCAGTATTAGAGTCTACTAGAAAGATGAAATGCCACCAAGCCAGCAAAAGACACTTTCAATGAAGTGGAAGAGCTTATGTCCTATAGGGTGGGATGGACAGGACTATTGCTGAAATACAAAACAAAGACAGAGGAGCTTCTAGGTCCAGATGGGAAGAGCACACCCCCAAGTAAAATGCATACAGCAGAGTTTTATTTATTTATTTACTAGTCAATAAGAAAGTAGGCTTTGAATGAGAAAATGACTTTTTGTCCTTAGTCCTCTACTATAAAAATCCAATCTGCTTTCTACCCCGGCCATCTTAACATTTGCATATTTAGCTGTTTCTTTGAGCTAAGATACTCACAACTTAATCAGAACTCTTCATTCATGCTTCGAGATCCTTCCTCCTATGCTCATTTCTTCTGGAGTTATCTCTTATTATTGGATGCTGCCTATCCACTTACAAACTCATCCTCAATACTGTTTCTTTACTCAATTCCAACAACACAACTCTCAGGATGTCCTAATTTTTCTAATCCCCAAAGATACCCATTTCCAAACCATTTTTTCTCCCCCTCCCCCTCTGCCATCATTCCTGGCATGTTCTATATCTGATACACCCTGTTTTCATTCTGTACCCCTGTAACCCATTCTTTACAGGTCAAAGTGATTTCACAAAATTTTATCAATGAGATTTTGTTACTTACCTGCTGAAAAATCTCCCAAAGTTATTTGCACATTTAGATTTTGACTCTGAAACAGTTTCTGTGACTTCTAAGGCCAAGTGATACTATGCCTTCTTCTATCTCTTGGTCCAGTGAAGGTTCTCTGAAATTTGCCTCTGTTGAAGTCATTTGCTTGACTCCACCTTTCACTTGGTTAGCTCCTTTGACCAGTGAGGTCACTCCTCAGATACTGCCTCTTCAAAGAGGCATCCTAGACTATCCAATTTCTCATTCTTGTATCTTACCAAATTTTATCAATTTTTTTTCTTTACTTACAGCAGTCTATTTGTACTTCTTATGATCTCTTCCTCCTCATCTCTACACTAGTCACACACCCTTGAAGGAAAGCACACCCCCAAAAATTATTTTCTCACGGACCACTGCATCTCCAGTCTCTAGAACAGTGCCTGCCACAAAAAAATAGACATGTAACACATGTTAACAGAATTAGTGAATGAATTAGTGCATAAATAAATGAAAATAGTGTGAAAGTTTTCTGTCATTTTTCAGTGGTTTGTTGATTATTGTCTTGTCTTGATTATCCCCTTCTAAGTGAGAGTGATCTGTCAAGGAACATAAGGCAGGTAATGTCACACCATAGGTAAGACAGTTTGCTTAGCTCCTGATACTGGTGAGAGGCATCCAGCCATACCTAGGCAGCTGTATCCGGACTTATCATTCCAATCAGCTTGTAGTCAAGACAATTGTTTAGGTTCTGAGCAGAAGCTGTTACCTTACAAAGACTGACTTTTTCTGTGATTCCTTTCCCTATTACTGTTTGCTCTTTTGATGGAATAACTTCTGTATTCACCTTTGCTCATTCCTTCTACCAGGATGCATCTCTTAAGGTTCAATCACCAAGCACAGTTGACATGAAAGTGGGAAAGTTATGGCAACCCCATCTCATTTAAACCAATTTAACCCAATGTGATTCTACTACAACAGGTGTTTTCCCATGTGGTTTCTTGCTTTTTACACAGCTTTTCTGGGCCATTAGATCTTCTGTAGGCTGTAGATACTATTTTTTGGTTTTAATTTGTTAGAGTCACCTGAATTATGACCAAAAATATGCAAGGTTCTTTAAAGCCTTCCTTTTGCTTTCTCTACTCCTCTTTTTCTGTTACCTGAGAAAATGCCCTCTGGTCAGGATCCCTATTCTTAAGACTTTCATAATTATTTCTTTCTGGCTAACCAAGTCTCTTCACCTTGTGACTAAAATATCCCTGAAATTTGAATGAAATTTTTGCATTTTCTGTTACAAATTTTCATAAACAACAAGACTTCTGTAGGTCCAAGTACAACTCTTGTTTGTTCAGAGGGCATTGATATCTTTTCACTCATATATTCTTCCATTTCACAAATTGTTATCACATGAAAATGGGGATTATGCAATACAACTATAATATAGGAAGTTTTCCAACCTGCCAAATTTCTTTGGTGATATGTTGCATGCATTATATCATTAACTGTTCCCTACAATAATCATTGGTTTTATTTTCTGTATTATATGATGATTTGATACTCAAAGCATCCTTAACAAGAGTTGGCCCCTCCTAGAACCATCTAATTCCTGGAGATGGTAAACAACTTATCTTTGAGCATGCCTTTCAAATGCAATCCAATCAATTCAAAGTCCACATTCCAAATAAAATTTTATTCTAACCTTCCCAAAGAGAGGCAAGTTTTCCACACCCCAGATTCCGGTTCAGAATAACTAGAGGTTGTCCCTAAAACCTAGAGCCTGCTGAAAATATTCAAATGATGTAATCCTAAATGTGTTGAAATTTAGCACCTGTTCTTTCCCATGGAAACTACAATAAAGGCTCTCTGTCATGCTTTCTCCTCACATATTCTGACTCCTGACAAACCCTGGTGCTTCCGCATGTTTCCCTACATGGCATGGGATAGTGTGCCTCCTTTTCCTGGAAAGTGTAAGCCATGATTTTTTCTTTCAAGGCAGTTGTCTCTGTCATCTCACTATTCTTGATTTAAAAAAAAAAAGAAATTCAAGGTATATTTTAAGATTCCAAATCTGTATAAAATAGGTGATATGAAAATTACTAGTACTAGTACTGCAGCTAGAGAGATGAGGAGTCAGTATCTGAACAGATGACCTAACTTCTGAACCAGTACTCTACATTAATTTGTCTTTATATATGTCTTAATATATCTAAGAAGGTTTAGGTAGGGACCACCTTATCATGGCACTTAGTCAAGCAGTTGGATATTCCCAACATAAATTATTTAGTCCTGTTCGTGGTGAACCTGAACTTTTTTTTTTTTTTCAAATTTCAATTTGGTTTAGGTCTTATATTCTATAAATAGACACTGTTCCATTGCAGTGCCTGATAGAGAAATAAAATTTCCTCCATTAAATTTTGGATTGACAGATTAACATAAAGATCACACCATTGCAGAAATTCAGACTATTTATTCACTTACAGATATTGAACTAGGAACCAGTCTAATGGAAGAGGATAGACATTTATCCTGTGCTTTAGGACTTCAGATGCCTTTGGTTGGGGGAATCCAGCTGTTTAAAAAATGGAGTGCCTCATTTATTCCTTCACAAGAACAGGACTTACTATACATTATTAAGACAACTTGTGTCTTGCTTCTGTTTCTCCCCCCCCGCCCCCACCTTCTTGCGTTGTTAGCCATTCTTTTCCCATCTGGAATCTCATGCTATTCTCTCTTTCCTTTAAATCTGCATTAACTCTTCCTATCTCCAACCATCTTTCATCTCCTGAGAAACAACAGGGCCAACAGGGGCAAGAATAGATCTGAGCATCCTACAACTGAATTGCAGGAAACTCATGATGTGGCTGCCACTTGACCAGATGTCACTGCTGTTACCCACTTGTGTTAAAGACACAAGCCCTGTGACTGAAGACATATCTCATGTTCTCAACTTTTTGTAGGTTGAAGTAGAAAAGAGCCTTTTCTGTTAATACTGGACCAGCATATCACAGAGTTGTGAGGATTATGTATGACACTTTTACAGAAAACACAAGGATGCTCAAGTGTTGAGGAAAGACATGTGTCATTAAAACTATGGGGCGATCCTCAAATATGTAGTGGGTCTGCTTCCAGAGCCCCAGTCTCTCTTTTCTGCATCACTGTTCCCTGTAGCCTTATACCTCTGGAGCTCACAGAGAAATGTCATCTCCCACTCTTGTCTGAATTATATCTGCTTTCTGAAAAGGATGTAATACAAGTTTTTGCCATAACTGATATGACTAGTGATAAGTAGTCTCTCTTCCTGAGGTAAGATGTGCTAATTAAAATTTTTAAACATAAACATATATGTGAGCTAAACCATTTTACAAGGGGGACTGGGGCAATATTTGTTTGTGCTCAGCTCCTCAGAACTGAGAGCAGGTAGTGTGCCTTTGTATCCTTCAGCAACTAAAGTAATAAACACTAAGAGCTTAATGCTTATTTTTGAATTACATTTCATTTTGCCAATTGTGCAGAGCCCAGTCTAATTTAACAAAAGGCTTTGAGAAAGAATACAGTAGGGCAGATGCACATAGCAACCATTAAATTAGGATACAAGAGCGAGAGCCACGCAGTGAGGGAGGATTCTGTCAGGCAAAGCAGGAAAAAGAATAATGACCAACCCAAGGAAAGCTGGAGTTCTTAGGTTTAGAACTGAAAGAAAATGAATCTGAGCTCAAAGAAATGCAGAGATTGGACTCTAAAAATATCATGCCCTCATCTCCCCTTCTAACACTATTATGGTGACCCTTCCTGTGATCAGAAAGCTATAGATGGATTTATAAAGATTATTCCTACTATTTTTTTTTAAAAAAGATATCCATGTTTTCCCCAGCTCTTGCTTTTTACTGAAATAAAATGCATGGACAATAGGGACAACTTTGCATATTGTGTTGTAAGAAGAAATGCACACTTGCCCACTTGAGCGATAAACATCAAGTGTAAGGGCATAAAGGTCTCTGAGGTAGGTCATCATAGTAGGAAGCTTCTCATTCTGGCTTTCTGCATAGGCCCAGGAAAGCCATAGAACTGTAGCTTGATTAGGTGCAATCCAGCGGCAGAGTGGTGGACCAGGCAGCCTGGTTCAGCTACCTGGAGTGGGAAATGTAGTTCAGTATCCAGGGCGGGGTTTGGCAACTTCTGCACTGGCATCAGGGAGGGAGGGAAGATGCCAGTGTCAGTTTTCAATTTGCTGCTTTCCCCAGAACTCCCTCTCCCTCTCTCCTCCTCCCTCCCCCTACTCACCCCCCATCCCCGCTTTGATTCCTGGGGAGCCACTGAAAGGGGCGCGACGTTCTCTTGGCTTGCTCAGCTATCAGGGGGAGAGTGGCGCCCTGTGAGGGGCCAGACTCATCCCCGCAGGGATTCCCAGATTTGGTGGGCGCAGCGGGACTTGGTGGGCGCCTGCGCCCCTCGCCCTGCACCGGGGTCGGGATGAGCGCACAGTCAGAGCTGCCTGCCCGCCTGCTAGCTCCGAGTCGGCACTGGGAGAAAGTAACGGTCAGGGATGGAGCTGCTGCCATGACAACCCTGGCGGTCTGGGCCCGCGCGCGTCCGGGCTGCTCCCGGGAGGAAGGCGGCGCAGAGGCCGGGGGCGGCCGCTGGGGGCGCCGTCCGCCCAGCTCCCCGTGAGCCCAGAGCCTGCGCCGGGCGGCGCTCCGCGGGCTGGCGAGCACGGGCCAGGCTGGCCGCGAGTTTCCGACCGGGCTGCGGGGAGGACATCCACGGACTGGAGGATCTTGGTCTGCACCGACTGCGTGTCCCAGCTTGGAACTTTTTATCGCCTTCGGGTTCCAGATGCGAGACTTGGGGCTGGTTTATAAATATATCTATACATATGTGTGATCTAATAAAACATTTTCTCCTCTCCTTGAAGCAGGAGCTTTTTATGACATCTCCTTTATGTCAGAGACACTTGCCTTCTTTGGGTTATAAACTTTTGATGCCAGACCTCTGCAGAACGTGCCCAACTGAATCTTAAAGTAGCATCTTGAAGAGAGAGGCAGAAAAAGCGCAATCTGTGACCTTCATCCTTGCACCTTCCTTCTTTCTCTCCCTTCCCAGCTGTCTACCCCCTCCCCAGGGGAGCGTCGAGAAAGCTCTTTTTGGATGCAGGAGGGGGCATCTGGTTCTGCTAGGCTGGAAAGCTGAGGCAGGAATTGAGGAAGAATTATTAGACTCCGGAGAGCCTGGACTCTTTGCTTCTCCTTCTTCCCCCTTTCTGCTCCGGGTGTGCTCTCTTTTCCTTTCTCCCCACACCACTTCCTGAAACCGGCTGGTGTGCGTGGCGGGGGACCAGGACTGTGCTGCTGTCGAGTTCTGGGAAGTTGTGGCTGTCGAGGATGGGGGTCTGTGGGTACCTGTTCCTGCCCTGGAAGTGCCTCGTGGTCGTGTCTCTCAGGCTGCTGTTCCTTGTACCCACAGGAGTGCCCGTGCGCAGCGGAGATGCCACCTTCCCCAAAGCTATGGACAACGTGACGGTCCGGCAAGGGGAGAGCGCCACCCTCAGGTAGGGAGCTATCCTTCAAAGGGGGACTGAGCCCCTAGACGTGGTTTCATGGGGAGGGGCTGAGGGAGAGAATGGAAGGCTCCTGTGGGCTATTGGAGCATGTGAGAGGGACTTTTGCAGGCCCAAAAGGTGGCAACTTGCATCCTGTGGTTGATGATACCAGTTCTTTGGACAGGTTTGTCACTTGGTCTGGCTTTTCTGGTCTGTTATCTGGCCGGAAGTCTGCATTTGGAACTCCATGTATACATGGAGCCATGACATGGCTAGATTCACTTTTGGGTGTGTACCAAGATAAAAACATGTGGGCATTGAAATTGAAATACTGAGTGGTCAGCCAGCCCCTTGGATCCTCTCTCCCAGACCAGGAGATATGTGATGAAGTGGGGTCATCCTCAGGATGGCTAGACTTGTCCCTTTCAGCGGGATTCTTAACAATTGAAGGCTTTGGAATTACCAGGGCCAGGCCATGGCCTGTGAAGAGTTTGCTGAAGATGCAGCCACTCATGCCAACCTTGTGTGATAAATTATGAGGGCCATTTTATTTTTTCCAGCTGGGGCAAAGGAGAGGAAACATGTAGCTTTTATGCAACGACATCACTTCTGTGTGAGAAGCACAATACAGAAGCTTTTTGTTTTACCTTAATGAGTTACAGAGAATCACTTACACACTCCAGGCAGAGGGGTGGAGATTCTTGGAATATGAACCTTTGGGGACTAGGCCCACTGCAGCAGAGACTTTAATAAAAATGCAGCCACCACTTTCCACCAGCTCAGCAGATATCATCTTTTATTCCTTTAATGAGGCAGTCTGGTCCTAGGAGACAGATTCAGGGACGTCCCAGCTTAACTATGCCTCCCGATGTACACAGGGTGAATACATTTGCCCTGCCTGTGACTTTGATGGTTATGGTGAAAATAAAACATTCTGACCCAGATTCTGTAGCCAAAATGCATAGCTTCTGCAAGAGGAAAATGAGGGTGGGCTTTTCCTCCCTCTCTTCCTTTGGCTTTCCTTGTGGAACCCTCCATGTGGAGATAAGCATCTCCCTGGGGAAAGAATGAATGCCTTTGGGAAACCAGCAATTCTTTTCTTGAACCCAAATGTTAAGTTTGCAACTTTGTATGATTCTTAGCTAAATCTTCTTTTGAGCTGGAGTATTGGTTCCAGATCCCCTGTATTCTGGTGCTTGGAGGCCCAAGAAGGACAGATAAGGAAGGAGGACAGAGATGTCTTTCGCATACAGCAGGAAAGACAAATCCTTCTGGTATGCCTGTCCCAGGCAAGAGTGTACTAATTTAAGAGTTGCTTCAAATAAGACCCCTAAGTCTGATCCCTGGGAAATGACTCGTGGGATGTACATTTGCAGTGGACCACTTGGTTCAAAGATCTGAGTAGCACATGGAGGAAATTTGGACAAATGTTAGTAGTCTGAATGGGATGTTAGTATGTATCTTTTTATCTTTTATCTTCTAATCTTCCACTGGAGGCACAGAGGTCCAGAGTTGAATAGGGACTCAGTGTTGAACTTTGCTAAATCATCTGGCCTCTTCTTGCCCCTTGGAATTAAAGCAGAAACTTAAAAACTTGAGCTTTCTGCTTTCTCTGATGCAGTGAAACAATTCTACCAGCAGAGGGCCAGCTTAGATCTACCATTTTTTATTAGCTAGTGGCCTGTTTTCATGATCTTCAATTCTAATGTTTAGCAGCTGGGCTTGGTAATGGGAATGGGAATAAAAAAGGAAAAGCTGAATACTTGATTTTTGTGCTTTGTGAGGAAAAAAAAAACTTACATACTCAAATACAACTGTTATCTGTTACCTGATTGTGTGTTGTTGCTTTTTAAAAAAAAGTAAGCACATATCCTAAGTTGATTTTATGTCTTTTCTGTGCATTTTACCCCAGGAAGAGATAAATCTAGCATATTGTTTCACATTTTAATCTCTCTCTATTCTCTAAATTTTAGCTTATGCAATCTTCTCTCTTATGGCTTTCTTTCTTTACTTTTATCAGTGTCTTTATGTGGCATGCTTTTGCCTTATATTCATTTTCTTCCTTCTTTCTTTCCCTCATCATTTAATTCTTATTATTCCCTGATTTTTACAGATTTTTATTTCACTGGAGACAATGTAGCTTCAAAGAACATAAACATCTCCTGCAAATTTCTGTTTGTTTCAGTTTTTGTTTAATACATTTTTGCTTTAGAGGCAAACAGGCACATTCTAATCTTAACAAAAAACTTACTTGTCAGTACTTGGAGGGAGAGCCCATGTTTCCAGTCATTGGAAATCCACAGTTTCCCTCAACCCCTGATAAATGTACTAATTTTTATTTGATGGTTCTTTTTGCTTTTAAAACCATGCTTATTTATGCATTTATTTTTGTCATGCTGGGGATCAAACTCAGAGCCTCACAAATGTTAGGCAAATGCTATGACACTCTGCTACATCCCCAGCTCTTTAATTCTTTAGTCACTCTATGGTCTCCTTAAAAGTGTTCATTGGGAATTCATTGCTTGGGAATTTAGTGTTCCAAATGCATTAACTATTCAGAATGTGCTAAAAAAATTAAATGATGTCTATACCTATCAGCCACAGAACGTCTTTTTAAATGTAACTGTCCTGGATCAAATTATCTTCAGTCTGTTTCTAAATGTTGAATGGAGTCAGATAAAAAGCAAAGTCCTAGTATGAAAAGGAAAGGAATCAAGAAACCTGGGTCCATCTTCAAACTCTCCAATAAAAAATTGTACAGCTTAGAGGCGGAATGATTTCCTTCCTTTGGGATATCAGTTTTGTTGTGACAGGTCTTTGATTACACTGAGAGACATTAGGAAGTGATGTGCCAAAGACGACACTGAAGTTTTGAAACTCATTTTATCTAAGTGAGGCAATATTATCTTCTTCATAACTACTTCACAAGGCTACTTGAAAAGTAAAAATAATTATTTGAATATTGAGTTATTTTGCCTTTTTGGAAGAGAGATGATATGGAAAATGAAGGTGCTATTCACTATGGTTGAATTATAGCTTCTATGAATCTGATTTGAATTCATTATTACAAATGGGCCCTCTTGGCCAGAATCATTTCATTACAATTATCTGCTGTTGGGTTAAAAATGTTCTGTGCCTTTCTTTTAGATTAGATATAACAAGTATCTAGGAGTCCTTTGTCTGAATCAGTGCCCACATCAGAAAAGGGGCCTAGCATCCTAAACCCATCAGCTGGCATCTGACACACAGATGCCCACCAATTGAACCTTCTTCATGAAGCTCTGATACCTCTAAATTTACTTTTTTTTTTCTGTTAGTCCACATTATCTGAGTACATAGACATTTTGAGGGATACCCTAAAACAGTGGTTGTATTCATTACTTATGGATGTTTTACTCAATGGGAAAAGTTTCCACCAACATGGTGATTTATTTTGTTATTTTGTTATTTTATTTTTCAATATAGGATAAAAAAATTTGGATAATCCTAGCTTGCTGATATGGGATTATGCTTACAGGCTCATTTCTACCCTGTCCCAACATTTTCATTTGGAGTTCTGAACTAATCCATTCAGAACAAGTAGGTGAGGTTTAACTGCTGCCAAGGAATAATCTGAGTAGTGGGATTTTTCCAAAGCAACTTGGGCAATAGAATTCCTGAGTACAATGTTCTGTTGTCCACCTGGATGGTTTTCTGTATTTTTCACTTGTTGTCAGCAGTTGGTCATCTAGCTTAAATTTGGAAATTCAGAGCAGCCAGTAGATTATTCAAAACATGTGCATGACTTTTGAGTTTCAATGTTTAAGGTGCCTAAGCTAAATAAGGACTATGCAAGTGTAAAGGTACTGTTTTTGAGCTAAGAAAATGGAGACATAAAAAGACTTACAAGCAGGTCCAGATCCAGAAGAGCCCTCTCACTATGAGCCCTTATCACTATGATAAACTGGTTTGCTCCTTGAAGTAACCTGGAATGCTTTCTAAAAATTCCACTTGGGGTTGGAGATATAACTTAGTGTGGTAGAGAGGATGCTTAGAGTATGTGAGGCAGTGAATTCATTCCACACCAAAACAAACAAACAAAAGACAAAGAATCTAATGCCAAACTCACAAACCAAAGAAATCAACATCTCTGGAGTTATGGGTATTTAATGTATCTCTTCCAGTATTTCCAGTTTGGAGCAGAGTTGATGAACTCTCTTCTGAAGCCTTTATGCCCTATAACATCTCAGCAAGGTTGGTGCCCAGGGTCTCTCCCTCCTTCCTACTGCCCACTAAAGTGTCCCTTCCATACATTCAGCCACCTTATAGCTACATTAGTGCTCTAGAAAGTGCTGGGCTCAGGGCCTGGGTGCTTCAGTTTGATTCTCATTCCACCTCTCACTAACTACATAGCCTTGAGCCTTCAGTGTAACTGTATATAGAAGGGAATGATATCCACCAGACCCATAATATCAGGTGAGACAAAGTATATGGTGTTGTTCTGTTAGTTTTAGAGCAGCAGTATATTCCTCAGCGGTATTCATGGGAGATTTGTTCCAGGGCTCCCTGGATACCAAAGTTCTCAGATGATCACATCTCATATAACCTACACACATCCTTCCAATATTTTAAATCATCTCTAGATTATTTATAATACCTAATACAATGTAAGTGCTATGTGAATATTTGTTATACTATATTGTTTAGGCAATAATGACAAGCAAAACATCTGTACCTGTTCAATATGGATGCAATTAAAAATTTTAAATATATTTTTGATCTGCAGTTTTGCACATCTGCAGATGTAATCCATGGATACAGAGGGCTGACTGTGTGTGTTAGTTGTTACTAGTACTAAATGGAACTCCTCAGTAATAATTGATATTCTCATTTTTTCCTAGTTTCATCTATTCTACCATCTCCTTCTCCACCTACACACACACCTTAAATTGTATTAGTTTCTTCCCACTTCCACTCAGCTTCCTGCTTTTAGTTAAGAATTACTGTCATCTGGGTTCCAGCCACAGTTG